GATTATTTAGTCTGATTTTGGAGTGATTTTGAAGCAGGATCTATTTATCAGCCATTCAGTGTGTCAAAAATGTAAAGGACTTTGTATGCAATACAGCAAAGACTCTGAAGATTTTAGGTGATGACATTATACTTATAGTAGGTATGCCTGTTAAAAGGATGTCCAGTAGTAGACAAATGCTTATGTTTATGACTTGAAAAACTCAGGACACCAGTTCAGGTGCACAAACCAGTTTTTCTTTGTCTGTATTTTGAATGACATCATTGGAGGTAGTCACAGCTCTGTTATCCGGACAGTGTAATCGATTCGTGCTGTGATGTCTTCGAAGGAGTAGAAACATGGATGGAGCTCTGTCTCTACGTTTCCCACTGTATCTCATCCCTTTTGTCCCTTTTGGTAAAGTAGTTCCTGTAAAGGGAAATAAACGCTTTCACCTTATGCTAACCATGAGACTGAACTGCTGGTCTTTCCTTTAGAGACTGAGTACATTAAATGAGCTACATTTTCCTCTTCTGTTTTACCTTTTTAACTGCAGAAGAGTGATTTCAAAACAAGTCTGTAAACCTTTTGAACAATGCTTCATTGTGAAATTTGAAAATTTCTTTCCACTTATCCGTCTACAGTTATACAACAGAAAAAATAAAAAAGACTTTCTAAAAGTATTCTGGAATTGCTCAGCAAAGAGAGGCTTCAGAAACAGATCTCAAACTAAGTAACTATGTTTGGATATTTCAAAAAAAAAAAGGATTGGCACAAAGGAAGGATGAAGAAGGTGAAGGTTCACACATGATTTTCCATAGTTATCCTATTTCTGTAGTTAGCTTATTATGTATTCTTGAAATTCTACCATGTAATTCTGTTTTAGGCATCCAGAATATATTAAAAATTTAGTTAAGATGGTGACAGATTGAATACAATTACCTGAGTCAATCATGGGTTAAAATTATGCATGGCAACATAACCACACAGAGAATAAAATGTGAAAGGGCCCAGAGGCACAGTTCCCTCACTGCTCTTTAACTATCTTGCTAAATGATTGCTGACAAATTATGAAAAAAAAAACACCAAAAACATTATGAAATTAGTGAAATTATTTAAAAAACCATGGGCTACTTTGTATTTTCTGAGGTGGTCTACACTAGCATTACAGGGACATTTTTCCTAAGCAAAAGTAACATTTTCCTATGATGGTGCCCAATAAATGTGGTTCCTGGATGAGGATATCCAAGTTCACTCTTTAAGATAAATATCCTGTCCAAGAACTATTCAGTGTGGTTTCCCAAAATCTTTTTATATAAGCTGGAATTTATATAACCTGGGCTCACTACCTCAGGTCAGTGGTGTATTCTGTATTACTTTCTCTCCATAGTGTGTTGCATTTAGATTTAGCAGCCAGTCCTCAATAACCATTAAGTGGAGCAATTAAACACTCAATGACTTAAACTAGCACTAAGATGCAATTCCCTGTAATGGTATTGGTACAGTATAAGCATACATGGCAGTACAGTACAGGATATCAAGAGTGCTCAATTCTGCATATCTGGTTGTCAAAAAAAAGAGGCATTTGTACAACCCAATGGCTTTTGTTACAGTGTTATATACCGAATCTAGACGTGCCTCCACCTATGCTCTTAGTTATGGTCAGCTACAATGTTTCTCCACATGGTTTAATTATCTGATCTCTATACAGTGTTAATCAGTTTTTCCACAGAAGTATTCACTTTAATTTGATAGGCTATCCAACAAAATATATTTTCTTAGAAAACCTTTTCATTTTGTGGACTATCTATTCTCAGATGAACTTTTCATCTGTATCATCCATCAGGGTATATTTTTCTTCAGATGAGATTAACATTCTTTTAAGAACACTAATTGAACATTTGTAATTTTTTTGTATCCTTGAGGCCTCTAGTTTCATTCTGTCCTTACACTTTCAAGGCTTCTGCTACCATCTTGCATTCATAATTTTGGGAACCCTTGCTAAAATCCCCAGTTTTTCTTCAAATGCCTTTAAGCTTTGCTTTCCGGGTTATATAGCTAATCGTTTATCAGCACAATCCAGCCATGCATACCTCCTTGTTTTAGGTCCATTAAATGTTTCATTCCACAAAGCAACAATGAACTAAAAGACATATATAAATGATAAGACACATGAAAATAATTGTCTGGTACTGCTTGCTCACAGTATCTACTAGTTATGGCAGCATTGCTAGTACATTATCAAATTTACTTTACAGCAGGCACTGTGACTGTTATTGTACTTTCTAAAAATCTGTTATTCAACAGAGGAATTGTACGTTCTTCCCAGTGTTTAGGAGTCTGAATCTTCTGTGGCTTATTCCAGGTTTTAACAAGCTGTCATGGCTTAACCCAACAGGCAGCTAAACACCACACAGCCGTTTGCTCACTCCCCCCTGCCCAGTGGGATGGGGGAGACAATCAAAAAAAGGTAAAACTTGTGGGTTGAGAAAAAGACAATTTAATAGGACAGAAAAGGAAAATAATAATAATGATGATAAAAGAATATACAAAACAAGTGAGGCACAATGCAATTGCTCACCACCCGCTAACTGATGTCCAGCCAGTTCCTGAGCAGGGGCCGCACCTGGCCAACACCCCCAGTTTTTGTTCAGCATGACGTCATATGGTATGGAATATCCCTTTGACCAGTTTAGATCAGCTGTCCTGGCTGTGTCCCCCTCCCAGCTTCTTGTGCACCTACAGATTCCTCACTGGCAGGGCAGTATGAGAAGCTGCAAAGTCCTTGACTTAGTGTAAGCACCGCTCAGCAACAACTAAAACATCAGTGTGTTATCAACATTATTCTCATCCTAAATCCAAAACACAGCACTGTACCAGCTACTAGAAAGAGAATTAACTCTATCCCAGCTGAAACCAGGACACAAGCTTAACTTTATTAACTTGGCAAAGGTTGTTTTAACTTCTGTTATATGAGAAAGATCTTGTTAGAATCAGTTGGAGTGGCAGCTGCATTCAACAGGATGCTGCATCCCTGTTGATTGAGGTGCACAGCATGAGATGCTGTTACACTCTAGATGAGAACACTACTATACCAAAGAGAAAGATGATTCTGGCCTGTACTATAGTCTGTCTCTTTGTACATGATATTTCTAAAACCAGCAATAGAGTATTAGCTCACACTGTTATTGCTGAGCATAAGTGTCTGAAGTTCCCGTTGGTCTTAAGTGATACAAAGGGCATTTTGTATCTGTTGGTAAAAGATATCTGTTCTTTCCATGAGCTTTTTAAATGCTGCTGAGTGGAAAGATGAATTCCATCATTGCTTGAGAGTAATATTTTGAAGGTTACCTCCATACCTCCATACCAACAACAGTTGAGTATGTGTTTATTGGATTGAAGAAATTTATTGGTTCAACCTGCTATTTGAGCAGTGAAGAATAATTTCATTGTTTGGAAGACTGTAGACTGGCATTTTTCTTGCCCTCCATTCTGTCAAAGGAATTGGGAGCAAAGCATGAAGAGCTTTCCAAAATTTTATGTTGAGTCTCTTGCATCTTCATGGGGTCTTAAGTCTTTATCACACATAATTTTTTTATATTCCTCTTCCATGGTTGCTCACATCTAATTTTTGCAGCCAGAGTTTTGCTGGCAGAACTGTGAAATTGGCACAGTAGTTAATGTGCCACTTGTCACTCTCAAAGCACTGTTTATTTCACTGGATTTCAGTTTTGTATGAAAGCTGCTATACAAAACAAGAGAAAAAAATATTTTATGGGAGACAGACAGACATACAAGAAGAAGAAATTGAAATTCTGGGGTATGTAGATTGCTGTCCCCACTTCTACTGGCTAGCTTCTGCTTGATATGTACCCAGTATTTCAAGCTTTTTTGGCATTCTCTGGAAACCACTCACAGTGGGCTTAGTGCCTCTAGGTGCTACATTAACAAGTCTTCTACTGTAGGAATTGACTATGAACTGGATATTCTCCTTTTCTTGGTTGTTCATATGGAGAAATGTGAAAGCATTGGGAGGTAGGTTTTGTGGTGGTTTGGTTTTTTTCCCTAGTAAAGACAGACTTCATTCTCTGGTCACTGAAATAGAACTTTAACATACTTGAATTTGTCTTCAATGGACATAACTATAAATATGATTCACCTATACATATGAATTTGGGCGATAGGTGAAAATGACATTCTTTGTGTAGTTTTTGAAAAGTCCCTAGGAGTGCAGGTCCTTGATGTCACCTTGAGGGAATTAATCAAAATGTGTTCTAATTTGGCTGGCCTGGTTGCCAAGGTAGACATGTAGTTTTCAATCTTTGAACATTTTGTTGATCGAAGTAAGAACAGAGTGTCAATTTATAACTTTTGACAGCTTCAGCAATGGCCCTTTCTGTGAGGCGGTGTCATGTATAGAGGAGAGAGCAACAAGCACAACTGCTATCCTTAATTTATTTTGATAAAACACTTTTACACAGGTGGTCAGTGTTAGAAACTGATCACATTAACTGTGACCAGGTTTAGACACTTACATCTCAAGGTCTTTTATGAGCATTGGCTCCTAAGTTGATGATATTAATTTTATTTTCATACTTAATGGGGAAATTCTTTATGAAGTTCATTACAAGGTTGCTATTTTGTGCTACTGCACTGTATTCATGCCCTAAAGTCAAATTGTGCCCTTCTGCAAGTCAGAAGGAGTTTCTCTACTTCTGTTTTATCACAGAATTTCCTAATATTCTGCAATACACACACAAAAAAACCCCCAACCAACCAAACAAAAAGATTGCAAAAGATTATCTTTTTAAATTGTTTTAATTAATCATAGATAGGATAGATTCTGTGATGATGATAATAACACACATTTTCTCTTTGTAAGGTTTTTGGATTTATTACCATACTAGCCTTGCATTACGAAGAACCTGCTCAATCTCTAATTAGTATTTTTCCTCCAAAATATATTTTCTGGAAAACTGTTTTAACATTATTTATCCTAATTGCTTTTTAATTTTTTTCAGGGAGTGCTGGAACACCTGTTATCTTCAATGAAAATGGAGATGCTCCTGGACGCTATGATATTTTCCAGTATCAAATCACCAACAAGAGTACAGAATACAAAGTAATTGGTCAGTGGACTAACCAACTTCATCTAAATGTAAGTACTAGTTTGATTATGATGCTGACATTATAGAATACTCATTTAAGTATTACATTTTTTCAAAGCACTTCAAAAATATTGATGATTTCTTCTCTGTCAGTTGGCAGAAGAAAGCTCTTCCAATCTTCTTGAGAAGACAGTAAAAGCACAATAACCTGAACCAAGTTCTTTATATTTTAAAGTAGGTTGGGTTGTGTATTTACTTGCTCCTTTAAATGATATTTTAGAATTATTATATATCAGATATTCCTCAGACTGATTATGAAGTTAGGCAGGGAATTAGTAATTCATCCTTCAAAAGACAGTGTCAGACACAATGATGGGTACATATATATTGCCCAGGTATCTCAAATAATATAAAGGGATGGAAATGTATTTAGTAAAAGAGAAGTTTGGACTCTAACCACTTACAATTTAGTTGAAACACTGGGATGATGAACTACTGCAATAAAAATATTTCTTGACTATAAAGGGAGAATTTGGAGTTTTTCTATATAGTCAACTAGGATTAGTGTAGTCCCTTATTACTTAATAGCAGAAGAAACAAAAGACACAACAACTTACCCATCCTTAGGAGTTGTTTCTAATTGCTACCTTAATATGTTCTGCAAGTTCTGTGGTAGTTAAGCTCCACCTATGCATGGAATTATATTTGTTTTGAAAGTTGCCCTCCCAATAAGATTCAGAGAATATAATATGCAATAGTTGTATGACAGCTAAGCATCAAGCCACAGCTGTAACTTGAGAAGTTGTTGGGTCCAAGGCACTTCTTTCTGTCAGAAGATGGTTCCATGCAAGAAGAGTTACAGTCATGAGAAAAGCAAAATCAAGTTAACCTGTTTCCTTGATAGCTGTGCAATATTTACGGGGTTTACTTGAGGTACGTTAGCCATTTGGGTAGCTCTGCAAGTGTGAAATATCAAGTGTTGTTTTGCTAAAGGCTGATGAGAGGGGCAACAGTGTGAATTGATGACTAGATTCACCAAAGGGAGTTTATTCAGTGACTTTAATAAAATCACAAAAAGCAGGTTTCAAACATCTCTGGTTTTCCATGTGAGAGGTTCCTGAAGAAGAGTAACAAAGACAGTATAGTAAATATTTACAAATGATTCTCCTGTTGAGACTACTTTGCAATAATTATCTGAGTGCTACCCACAGCAACACATATAACTCCCCATTTTCAGCCACAGCTGTTAAACCACTTTACCATATCTACCATTTAATATCTGTAAATACTTGGCAAGAACTCATATATTTAATTCTTCTGCCCAAATAGAGGAAACCCTACCAACAGAAACTGTGTACAGCAGATTGTATGGCAGTGTTATTTCCCTGCACTAACCTGATATCTGTCTGTTGAAAGGCACGAAGGGAAAAAAAAATGGTTAAACAAGTTTGAAGATTAATACTAAATAGTAATTTTTGGAAAACACTAGAGTTAGACCCTTATCATAACTATTATGGCATACACTCCAGATCTTCATAATTGCTACAGTTTTCTGAAAAGTTAGTGTTTATTAAGTGAGCTGAAAAACTGATACACACATTTTGTACAAACGTTAGTACTAACATAGCAGTTACATACTAGTAACTGAGAGCTACCTTAGAATTTGCTTCAATTTTAATTCCATTCCAATCTACCTTTTTCTATCCCCCTCTAGACTGCTAAATTTTTCATTAAGCCTGTAGCTTTTCAGTCCCATTATTTCTGCCTGATGTATGCGTACTCCAGGGAATTGTCTGAAATATGATTAGATTGGCTGCTCCTCAGACTACTGAAACCAGACCATGCTAACCACATTGACCACAAAGCTAACAGGAAAAGATTTATCTAAGGACACCCCTTGTTAACTCTCATTAAGAATGGATGTGTTAGGATGTTCTTTGCCTCTCTTTTTTTGTCTCTTTTCTCACCTCCTTGAGCTCACATGCTGGACACCACTGGTTGTCCAAATTCGTGGGCGAGCTCTGTCTAACGTGTGAAGTTGTGGAGATGCAAACGGGTAGGCACACTACTCCACAGCAGGTGTTTCTGCTCCCAGCCTCTTGCCATGGCCCCGTTCTCATCACACCGCCCGCTGCTTTGCTGCACAACCCCTGCTCACACAGCCCAGGGTGCGAGCAGGCACACAGGGCTCTGTCCCCCTGTGCATGGTGCAACTGGATTGATTCAGCAAGGAGATGTTTCTCTCCCTACCTTTCACTTCTGTTTCTCAGCTTACTCATCTTTATCTAAAGCCTGGAAGATTTCTAAAGGGATTATTGGGCTTTATTTCTTAAAGTTTTTCAGGGTTTGAGATGCTGGATGCAAGTCTCCATCGGTGTCTGCAGGCACTGGTATAGTAACAATGAAGAAGGAAGTCGTAACAGGGGTGGTACCGTTTGTTTCCATCTGTTTCTACATTCACTAAACTTACTTAGCACGTGTCGAAAGTAGTTTATGCCACATGATGATCTGCTGTGGCAAAGCTGTTGTCTCCTCTTGCTAGACAAAATGTACTAAACTCAAGTAATCTTTGTGAATGATTGTCAATACTCCAAATCATCATATTGCAAATTAGGTAGTGCTTTTGATTGCCAATGGATCAGAGGGAAAACTATGGATGTTTTCATAGAATCATAGAATGGTTTGGGTTGGAAGGGACCTTAAAGATCATCTAGTTCTAACCCCCTACTAGACCAGGTTGATCAAAGCCCCATCCAACCTGGCCTTGAACACTTCCAGGGATGGGCAACGACAACTTCTCTGGGCAACCTGTTCCAGGGCCTCACCACCCTCAGAGTGAAAAATTTCTTCCTTATATCTAATCTAAACCTACCCTCTAAATCTACCCTCATTGGTTTCATTGGTTTCAGTGAAAACATCTGTATTTATTGAAGGCAAAGCACTATTAAGGTGGCAGAGCACTTTTTACCCTGCTGTTTTATAAAGGAGATGCTTTTAAGATAGAATACTTTCCCACTGTATCCTTTGTTTTCCTGCAGTTTCCTCTTAATGAAGACACATGTAACTATGATTTTTAATGAATCTCTGTCAGCTAGATATCCTCTATAGATACTTCTACTCCTGTTCTTACAGATATTTCTACTTCAAATTGTGTGGTAACATGTTGTAGCTATGACTGTGTTTATGATTGTGTTCATCTATACAGCTGGTATTGTGCTTCAGAAAAGTTATAGCTTTTATTCATTTATTTATTTTCTATGCCAGAAAAATAAATCATGAAAGTACCAGGTTTGCAGTACAGTTCAACCTTTAGAACAATTAATGTAACTCAGTTTAGAACACGTCTTGCATCTAAATAATCGAATCAAAGGGTTTCCTTTTTTCTTTCTGACCTTTTTTTTTTCCCTCTTCTTTTTTGTTTTCCTTTTCCTTAGGATGTTCTTTGATATTTTCTCTGTCGGGTTTTGGTTGCGAGTGTCTGTTGTGTGGGCTATGGCTCCTCACCCGGTGGCCAGCCCCAGTCCTGTCTCTGACCCCAACCCTCAGGATTCACGATTCCTCTGCCGGGGTCTCTGGTTCCTTAAAGTTTTTGCTGACTCTGCAGGGTCCTTGTGGTCAAGCTTCAGACTTGTTCCTTTCCTGGTGCAGTGCTGGCTTTCCCTTTGGGCAGAAAGTGTTGACTCTGGCTAGTAAAGACTGTATCATGTTCCCTAAGGGGCACTTGGTCAGCAGGCTTCACCAGCTGCAGAAACCCTTCTAGCTGCAATGCTGGTTTCTCCCTGTGGTCCTCAGTAACATTAATGCTCTCCTTTAGGCAGACTGACCTTTCAGATTTCCTCTGAAGCAGCTATAGCTTCCAGATATAGGAACCTCATGATTACTGATCAGTACTACTCTTGCAATTCTTACAAAACAAATGCATGTATGGCAATGCTGAGAGATACAGTACAAAAGTTAAATTAAAAAAAAATCATGATCTTCAAAATTTAAATTTCTGTGTGATTCTTGAGTTTGAATAAGTTATCTCAATCTTTGACAGATGCAAGGAAATTCTGAAAGCAGATATTTAGAAACATCAAATTATAATCTCAAAGAACCTGATTGTCTTATATACAATTATCACTTTACACAATTCTGACAAAGTAAATTTAA